CTTTTATCAAGTATTTCTTTTGCATTATTTGGAATGATGACAAGTAAATAGATAAATTCCATCTCATGGTAAGGAATCTAAGAGAGTTCTAAACAGCATTCTGCAGCACCCCAGAGTAGTAATTCTTCGTCCACTCCGAGAAGGAATTTGAAGCTTCCCCGGGGTGGTGGAACGAAAGTTACATTTTTATAGACCCCTGAAAGTCAGTCAGATGAGAAGTGGAGGCCAGAAGGGCAGCACAGACAGGAAGAAAACCAGCAGATACAAAGATGTGTCGAGAACCTGCCTGGAGGTGGAGAACCAACGTCAAGAGGTTCAGTTAGACTAGGGGAAGACGTTTAAGGTGGAGAGTGTCAGAAATGAGCCTGAAGAGATGGCAGGGACCCACGGAGGAGGACCCGGAGCACAAGGCTAAGGAATGTGGCTCTGCTCTGTGGGAGCCCCGGGGACAGATTATGATGTGGGCATTTTTAACCCTGGCAGGAGTGAGGAGAATGAGAGCGAGGAGAGCAGGGCCAAGCCTGGAGCTCGTAGCACCAGTCAGAAGACATTTCAGCAAAGTAATGTTACCAGGGCCACATCTAGGGCAGGTCCAGTCCAGCTGAAAAGAAGTCAACAAGAAGAGCTATTTTAGAGGAAACAGTGAACAGGTGTGGTGACCAACCTGACTTGCAACACGAGGTTCCAGGAGGTACTGCCAGGTGCCTGGCCTGGTCATGCCACTGAGGTGGGGAAGGTGGAGAAGATTGCTTGAGGGAGTGGAGGTGGGGGTGGAACAGCAGTTTTGAACTTCTTGAATTTGTGATGCCTGTGGGCTTCCCCATGGATACACTCAAAATATATTGGAAGCTCCACAGGGTATCTGGGTGACCTGGGACTAGTGATATGGGAACCCAAAGGATGGATGGGGAATAGCACGATGAGAATGGCCCTTGAGAAACACAGTGTTTAAGGGGCAGGTAGAAGAGCAGCCTACGAGGTAGAGGTAGCGTGAGACAGAACCATGATCAAGGCCAGACAAAAATGGAGTCCCGGAAGCCAAGTGAATATCAGACTTTCACATGTCTCTGCAAGGCGCACTCTGTACGGATCATGATGAGCCTCTTGGAATTCGTCAGAGGTCACAATGACCTCAGTGGGCGTTTCTTCAGTGTTGGGTGAAGGAGCAGAAATGAGGGAGCTGAGGTATTTCCTATCACCTTCTCTTAAAGGAGATGTGACTGAGCGGGGTGGAGAATGAAGACAAGCCACTGGTAGGACAGTAGGGACATGCAGGCTCAAGGGAGAGTGCTTCCCATAGGAAGGCTATGAGGTGGGAGGAAAAGAGCCGGCTAAAAAGAATAGTGAGGTAGTTGGTTTATTGTGCCAACCTGGCCAATAAACACATGCGGGGTTAATTGAAGGGCGGAGGGATAAATGGCTCAGTGAGCCTCGCCTTTCTAGTTCTCGGGTCTCTTGCTTTCTAATGGTCGGACCAGGGTGCAGCTGCCTTAGCCAGTTCCCTGCTTCAGCTGGCAAGGATCACTTCCTGCAAGACATCCCCAAGGAGAAGCCACATGGACCTACCCCGATGCAGCCCTGGGTGCTGGAGCAGCCATGTGGAGACCCCTGCCAGCGCTGAGATGCTTACATATTTCCTCCTGCAGTCAGTGTCATTGCCTGTGTTTTGTGAGATGGAGGAGGACTTTGTGGATTGGTGTTGGACATATGGGTTCATGTTGGACTTGTGGGCTTGGGCAGCACTGGGTTGGAATGTTTTCTTGATGCGCACTTAACCGTTATATAAAACTCTCTCTTACACATGGATTTGTTTTTCTGAAGGACCCAGACTCACACAGATCGTTTGAGAATACTGGGGAGAGAGAAGTGATACCAAACGCTTGAGCAGAGGAAAGGAGAGGGGATTTAGAGTTAACCCACTGCCATCGAGCCGATGTCGACTCACAGCGACCCTCTAGGGCAGGGTAGAACTGCCCCTGGGAGGTTTCTGAGATCATCACTCTTAATGGGAGTAGAAAGCCCCATCTTTCTCTTGCATAGAGCAGTGGTTTCAAATTGCTGATCTTGCCGTTAGCAGTCCCAGGCATAACCACTATACTACCAGGGCTCTGGGATCATGATTCAGGTGTAAGAGAACTATGTCATCCTTGACACCAGGAGAGCAGATGAGGAGGCAGCAGGAGGGGGGGTGGTGGCAGATGGGCTGCAGGTCTCAAGAGTGACCCCCACTTTCTCTGTGAAGATGGGGTTGACATCTTCTGGTCAGAGGGAGTGGAGGTAGGGATCAGGTGAGAGTGTGAGGGCTCAGGGGAAAGGAGAGGGAGTTGGGAAAAGATGGCCAAGCTCTCTACTTTGAAGTGGCCAGGCACAGCCCAAACCACAAAGTTCCTAGGAGGCAGCTGGGGGACCAACGAGGCCTGACTGTGAGTCCTTAAGCGAGGAAGGTCTGTCGGTCACCTGGAGTCAGTTCTCTTGCCTCATCTGGGTCACCGGGAGGCTGGGTCCTCAGGAGCTACCAGTTATATTGCCCTAGAGGTCATGCGTGTCTGGCACACTGGGAGGACCCCCCCGGCTAGTGCAAACAGTTAGCGTGCTTGGTTGAATGCAGAGGCATCTCAGAACGTAGTAACCAGAATGCTGAGGCTCTGCTTCTGCAAAGTCAGACATTGGAGACCTCACGTAGCTCGATTCTCTTCTGACACACGGAGTCGGCTGGGTGGTAATGGGATTATTACCTAGGCTCAGGCCTGCACCTGGGAAGTGCCCAACAGGGGCCGGCTCCCATCTCCTTTCTTCATGCTTGTTTGCCTGTGGGTATGGGTTGGAGACGTGGGGCTGGTGCCGCCCCCACCCCCACCCCACCCCGCTTGACTTTCAGCCTTAAATCCCTACCCTGCCTCCAGCATGGAGGCTTTTCTTGCTTGTCTCCAAATGCTATTCAACCTTTCCTTTCAGGCCCACAGAAGTCAGTCTCTCCTCCTCTTTCCACCCCCTCCACCCCTGGCCCCCAGGCCCTGAACACCTGGGACCCGGCTTGTAACTGCCTAACCGCATCACCGGCTCTGATGCTGCTGCTTAGCTCAGTGCACAGCCGGGCCGCTCACATCGCTGCAGGCACCCCGGAGACAGAAACGGTTTATTTGCAGCCCCTAACCCAACAGCCCTCTTTGGGAGACAGACGTGGCGGCCTGTTTTCCTAAAGACTGCAGCACTGGAGACCCTCTGAGAGACAGGGTCACTGTGGGTCCAGAGAAGCTCGTGGCAGCACACTTAAGCATCCAGCACAGGAGGCCTTGAAGGCTCAGCTGGGGGTGACATTCCTGCCTGCCCGTGTTGGATTCCTGACCCATGCCTCTCATGTGCACTGGAGGCTTGCGTGTTGCTACCATGTTAAACGGAATCGGCAACATTCTTTCTGATCACAGAGTAGCCACCCAGAGCACTGGAGTCTGCTAACTCCGGCGAAATCCAGGAGTGATTGCACGACGTCACTCCTCTCAGGCGCAGTGTCCTCTCTGTAAAACGAGAATGACAGCATCTAGCCTGTCAGGTTGGCGTAAGGACAACAGGACAGAGGTAAAGGGCCAAGCACGATTTCTGGCGCAAAGTAGATGCTCAGTCATGACTAACTAGTATTGCTTTGGTCACACTGAGCCTCGCCTCCCCTGGAAGAGGCACGGTCAAATGTCGTGGGACACACGGCGGACTCTAACTCAGCCCTCCCCACTGGGGCCAGGGCATGGATTTTCGACATAAAGACAAGTGTGTCCCCACACATCTCCAAGCCACCGTCCACACCCAGAAGCAAATAAGCCCAAGGAACAGGGTCGGAAACAGATGGGTGACCAGTGAGGGACGGGCACGATCCTGCACTTCAGCGGGGCTGGGGGACTGGCAGAGAGCTGTGAACACAGTCCAAAGCCAAGTGGGGAGAGTTTGGGGACGACTTGGAATGGGGAAGAGTCATTTTGGTCGTGGTCGTACACATACATAGTTATGTGGGTATGTATAGAGGTTTCAAGACTGGAAAGTACATATGTAAATATATTTATATAAGAGTGTGGGGAAGCAGATCTACGTGCATATATTTATAGGTTTAGTATTAAGGCAGCAGATGGACATTGGGCCTCCACTCAAGCACTTACTCATTGCAAAAACACCTTCCTGAATCAATTGCTGAAGAAAAATGTGAACATAAGCAAAGGTGGTGAAGAAAACAATATTGAGGGCTAGAGTGGAGGGCAGATGTTTTGAGATTGACGAGGGCGACAGGTGTACTTATGTGCTTGACTCAATGGATGTGTGTATGGACTGTGATGAGAATTGTACGAGCCCTCAATAAAATTAAAAAAAAAATAGTTATGTGGTCTGGGTAGAGAGCCTTCTGGGACTGAGATGGAACCTCACAGCCCTGACGCCTCTTCATCACGAGCTGAGGTGCACTGTGGGAGTTTGCAACAGAGGTCTCCTCCATCAGCTCCCCGCCTGGGGCTCCTGTCGCCCCACCTCGCACACGCTCATGAGCGTGTGGACCACATCCTGTGTGCGGAACCGCAGCCTGCCTCTGGCTCAGGTTCTGTCTCCTGGTTATGAGAGCCATGCCCACAGAAGTGCCCCTCCTTCCTTGCCCCCCCGGCCCCCCCAGCTCAAGCTTGTCACTCTTTGTGGAAGCCCATGTCCCATCCCGCACCCCATTCCACTCCACTTCCACTTCTGTGGGCTCTGCTACCTGCCAGGGTTTTCTGAGCTGACCACTCCCGTCAGCCACTCCCTGCCGCCTCTGATGTTTCTCTTCGAGAGAAGTTAGTCAAACATTTGTTCTCAGGCGCCCTCTCCAAAGGAGAGCTTCAGATCTTACACACGCCCCCTGCCCCCACCATGACAGGATCATAGGCAAGAATTTACCTAACGGCGCAGGGGAGGGTGGTAGGGAGGAGCTGGGGTGGTTTAGGAAGGAAGGCAGCCTCTGAAGAGCTCCCCGAAGAGATAGACAACAGCTCTTTCAGACATAAACACTTTATTATTATGCTTTCTTTTCAGCTGACAAGGAGCTAGAGCATTCCTGGGGGAGGTGCAAGCGACTGTCCAGGTCCCTAGAGGAGAGGCAGAGGGGAGAAAACCCAGGGCTGGCTTTGGGCCAGGCTCCGTGAATGGGGCTGTCCATCTCCAGAGAGTCCCATAGTGGACCTGGAAAATAAATAGGAAGGGGGTGGAACAGTTAGGGATGGAGCAAGTGACACCGGGGAAAGGAGGGGCGGGAGGGAGAAGGACCAGACACAGGGCTGGGGTGGGAAGCAGTAAGAAAAGGAATGGTCCTGGCAGGAGGGTCTGTCTGGTGCCAAGGGTGACGAGCAACGGCATTTCCAAGGACAGTACTGGAGGCCGGACACCAACATGGATGGCCGGAAGGAGAGAGAGGTGGGGAAAATGATCTTGTGGGGTTCTGAGATCTGTCCAGGGCACAGGGCGCCCAGAGAGGAGCCAGACCTGGGTGGTGAGAGGCCAGGGGTCATCGGGAGTCCTTAGACATTTCTCTGGTTCAGGCCGGCGTACACGTCGCGCTGGCCCTTCCGGATGGGCTGGGGTGAAAGAGAACGCGGTCAGTGAGGCAGGAGGAAGTCACTCCTGCCGTGGAAGGGTCTCCAAAGGAGTACCTTCCATGAAATGGAGCGTGGTCCCCCTCCCAGAAACCTTGGCTCTCCCAGCTCAGAATCAGGGCTCCAAAGACCTGCCACACAGGGCTTTTGTCAGGGGACGTGAATTCATTCAAGAGAGGTGAACACCACACGCGTGGCTAGTGCTCAATCAGTATTTGTTGAATTTATACAGGAGCGATATTCATAATGCTCGGCAGCTGCGAGCGCAATCCAGGTGGCCCTCTGCGGTGCCAAGCATTCACCCTTCAGGCTTTGAATCCAGAGGCAGCCCAATGGGATCTGAAGGAGGGGCTGTGTTGGCTGGAGGGGTGTGTGTGGGGAGTGCGTGCGCTTGTGTTTGTATATGGGATGTGTGGCAAGCTTGGGACTAATTACTACTGACATTTTGAGTTTTTAATAACTGGTGCAAGTGTTCTGGTGCTTGGTGATGGACTAATCAGCCCTGAGTTTAGAATTATACATTTGAGTTTATATGTATGGCATTCTCTACACCGACCCAACTAGTGATTAAGTCAGTGAACGAGGAGTGTATCTGCCCCTCTGCCACCCTGCTCTCCCTTCCCCTAGGTGTAGACGCTGTGTAGCCTTCAGGATGGCCCTCCCCTACCAGGAGGAGGCACAGGTGAGCACATGGTGGTTGTAAGGGGAGCCCTGAGTGAAGGGCTTTGAAGACTTGGGCAGGAAAGATGAATGGTCCTGTCTGTTCCCTTCTCCCGTAGGAGGATCTCCCTATACCGGCTTCTTGGCCCCTCAGTACCTCATAGTCCGGGTTGGGGACAGGCGGTGGCCTCTCCTTGTTTTGTCCTGTGGAGGAGAAGGGGAAAGAGACTTGTTTTCAAGAAGGAACACCCGTTACAGGGGAATAATAAGTGTTCTAAAATTGAAAAAAAAGTAAAACTGACGGCGAGGAGGATGTAGCTTTTCTTGTTGTGTTTGATCAATCGAAGTGTATCTGAGAGGAATTACTGAGAGGTGAACAATGGGTAAGCACGATAGTGGGGCAGGAGGAAAGAAGAAAGAGAAGGAGGAAAGAAGAAAAAAACATATGGATATATATGTAAATATGTAAATATACGCGTACTTGTTTATATCTATATGTTTATATGCAAATGCACAAGGAAGCGGATGGGCTCAGACCTCTGCTTAAATCTTACCCCAGTACGAGAATGATTTTTTCCTAATAATGTAGCATTGTATGATATTCACCTTCCTGACATGATCTCTGAAGACAAAACAGGTGTGTAAGCAAATGTGGTAAAGAAAGCGGATGGTGCCTGGCTATAGTGCCTGGGTTCTTAAAGGCTTATAGTTAAACAAGTGGCCATTTGTGATCATGAGGTGTCAAGAGGAAGAGGTATCAGAAGTTCAAAACCAAGGAACCAAATAGATGTGAAGGGGTGTGGATGTAGGGGAGACCCAAAATCCACCTGTAAGATAATTGGACAGTCTCCCTCAAAAGGGCCACGTGGAAGGGATGATAAATGCAGGGTGTGGTATAGCACTGATGAAGCACATAACTGTCCTCTAGTTCTTGAATATTTCCTCCCCTTACTATTATGGTTTTTATTTGTTTTACCTCATTAATCATGTTAGATTTGTGTATGTTCATTTATATATTTAAAATCGTTGGGTACATGAAAGCCAAGAGAGATAATCCATCAGAAACAGTAACAGGGGTAACAGTCCCCTAGGGTACAGGGAGGGGAGGGGGTGGAAATAGGGAACTGACAGCACTGATGACTATCACCCCACTCGATGGGCATAACAACAGAACTGTATGTGAATGGATATATTGGATTGTGTAAGTTGTGGGAACTCAAACAACCTATTATAGGGGGAAAAAACAAGGGTTCCTGAGGGGTAGGGTGGGGAGGGAAGGGATAAAGGGGAGCTGATATCAGGAGTTTAAGAAGAAAGAATGTTTTGAATCTGATGGAGGTAACAATTGTACAATACTGCTCCATGTGATTGGACGATGGAATGTTATGCAATAAAACGATTACAAACAAGAAGAGCCCCCGTCTCACAGTCATGGCTGCCATGGTGAGACCCGGCTCAAGGGTGGCAAGCCCTTCAATCGCTCCTTTGCTTCACCCTTTTCCCCACCACAGTTCCCCTGCCCTCTGTTTTACTTCATCCCAACGCTAGAGGCCCCACACTCTTCTCTCCTCCTTTTGTGACCTTCAGCTCAAGGTCACCTCAAGGTCACCCCCTCGATTCTTTCCATCAGGGAAGGGAATGGAAAAGGCAGTAACCAAAGTCTCAAGGCCTCTCAACACACAGGCTGGGGTGGAATCAGATGACGCTAGAACACCGAAGAGCATTTGAGAAAGCGCAATGCGAACTGATTTCTTGACAAAGCTCTACGGCGATGGACCCGTGCGGCACACTTGTGGGTTGAGAAGGAGAGGCGTGACCGGGGACACAACCCCCTTACCAGCACGCTCTGTAGAAGCCTTTCTGGCCACGTTGGATGTCTCCCTTAGGGAGAGTGTCCTCAGACCCAGCTCCCAATTCTTACCCTTGGGTCTGCCGCCAGCACCCGCTGTTCCTCGCACCACAGGCTTGGCCTTGGCTTTTCTATTCTTGCTCCAGTAATAAACAATCAGCAGCAGGCCCAGCGTGAAACAGATATCAGCTATGATGATGGCGACCACCACCATGAGGTCCACCTCCATGCAGTTCTCGCACACTGTGGCAGGGTCGGGGAGAGATGAGGAGACACTGTTGAGCAAGGCAAAACCACGAGAGCACCAGACGTGAAAGAGGACCACGGACCCGGTGATTCTCATCCTCAGCACTCTCTTGCTCGCCGTGGCCAGAGCCCTCGGGCTCAATGTTTGTAACATTGACTATGGGCCAGCTGTGGTGGCTTTGGGGCGAGCCTCTGGCTGGAGCCTGACAGTCCTGCGTTCAAGTCTGAACTGGACTATGCACTGCCTAGCCGTGCAAACTGTGGATGGATTCTCCACGCCCAAAGCTCCTGTTTCCTCGGCTGTAAAATGGGGAGGACTTGAGGTGCATGAGTGCTGAGCGAATTGCAGGAAATGGTGCTTGGCGAGTATTGCCACTGTGTCTGCAGTTTAATAAGCCCTCAATAAATGTTAGTTTTCATCTGTATAATGTGAGTAAATGTTCGTTTTCATCCGTAGAAGCGCAGCGTTTTGGCGCTTGGCTGCTGAACTAAAGACAGAATGCACGGAAAGTCGAAAAGTCCTCGGGAGAAAGAGGAAGCAGTCTGCTTGTGGAAAGATGTGCGGCCTTGGAAGCCCTCTGGACAGCTCTGTCAGCGTGAGTCAGAATGGACTAGACAGGCATGAGGGTTGTTTGTTTTGTGTCTCAATACTGTACTATTATCGTTCCTTAGCATATGGAATCTTACTGTAGTGGCTTTGCATCTCCGGTCCCTCTGCCTCCTCGGGACAAAGCATCAGGCAGACTCACCTGGGTGTCCTATAATTCTGGGCACGAACCAAAGCCAATGAGCCAGGCCTGTTTCTTGGGAGGCTGCTGCTTGAAGTCTGACGCTGACTTGGGTTGCCCACACAGCCCCACATTCGTGTCTGATCTGTATTTCACAAAACACTGGCACTGCATGGGGCTAGAGAAGTCTAGGATGGAGCGTAGGAGGAAGCACGAGGATGCGGGGGAACTGTGGGGTGGGTTAGAGGAGGTAATTGGGAATACCCTTTCACAAGCTCCTGCCCAGTCTCGTCATCCTTGCCCCAGAGACCCCATTACCTCTTGCTTTCAGGTAGAGATAATGCTTCGTATCCGGCGGGTTTTTGGAGCAGACGTAATAGCCACTGTCCTCCGCTTCTGAGAAGTCCTTCAGCTCCAACAGGTTTTCGTTTCTGTCTTTAAGCAGCACACCGTCTTTCTCCCACTTTACTTCAGCGTCGTCGTCCTCGGGGCAGGTCAGCAGGACTGTGGTCCCTGAGATGGAGACTTTAAATTCTGGGGAGCGGGTGAGAAGAGGAGACGGGGCATCAGAGGGAGGAAGCAGGGAGCTTTGAGAGAAAGCAAACTTGTGATGAAAGAACCCACCACATGCAGAAGTGATGTGTCCCGATCTGGGTCATTGGGCAGAGGGGGGAGAGAGGGGGTATGCAAGAGAAGGGGCCCTAGAGAGCCTTTTAAAAGGCGCCGTCAGCAATACCAGGAGGGTATCGCTATCTATAACCCCCTCCCAGGGGGACAGGCAACAGAAAAGTGGGTGAAGGGAGACATTGGTCAGTGTAAGACATGAAAAAATACTAATAATTTATAAATTATCAAGGGTTCACGAGGGAGGGAGGGAAAAAATGAGGAGCTGATACCAAGAGCGCCAGTAGAAAGAAAGCGTTGTGAGAATGAGGATGGCAACAGATGTACAAATGTGTTTGACACAATGGATGTATGTATGGATTGTGATAAGAGCTGTATGAGCCCCCAATAAAATGATTTTTTTAAAAAGGTGCCATCAGGGTTTAAAATAGGGGGGCACGGGAGTGAAATATAAAAGTCCTTCTTTGGAAGCTTCTCGAAATAGAGGTTAGGAGTGGAATGTTGGGAGGCTTCATCTCTCTGAATCCATCTCTCCGTCTCTACCGCTGATATTCCTTCTCAGGAGGGTACACACGAAAGATTGATAGACTCACTCTTCATTGAAGGTGCAGCTGAAAATGAAGGAGACACAACTGGTAAGAGAATAACCTTAGTTTAAGTTCACATTCAACATTTTTTGCCTCAAGAGTGTCCCAACCTTCAGTAAGCCCAACCCTCAGAGATAAGGCCTCACCCATGATTATGCTCGGAGACATCACACAGCTACATCCAAGGGAGAACCTACCAGTGTGGACACCTAGCCCTAGATCCACTGAACTTTTTAGGTCCTACCTCAGAAAAAGAATGCGGAGCCTCCTCTGCTTTAGCCAGACCACAGTCTAGATCAGTGGTTCTCAACCTTCCTCATGCTGGACCCTTTCATACAGTTCCTCATGTGGTGGTGGCCCACCAATCATAACATTATTTTCATTGCTACTTCATCACTGTAATTTTGCTACTGTTATGACTTGGGCGACCCCTGTGAAAGGGTCGTTTGACCCCCAAAGGTGTCATGGGGGTCTTTGTAGAGATAAAGACCTGCACGCCTTTGAACTATTGGTTCTTGAGCTTACATATTTCAGATTAATTCCACCCCCCCCAAAAAACACCCCAATATAGTCCCTTACAAGAGAGATCAAGCATCTTAAATTGTTGTTGTTCCATATATGTTTTCTTTGTTTCTGCCCTTGAACACTTGGAAGGAGTCTCCATAGGATTAAGGGATGGCTCCTCCAGCAAAAGGCAGCTTGATTTGACATCATCTCCATGATTTCGGTCAGAGGAAGAAACCATTGGTGCAGACAACTGAAATCCACCAATATCAGCCGGTATAATTTGGGGATCTCGCCAGAGTCCCCGTAGCAGGCAGTTTCGACAGGAGGAGGGGCCCTGGGGTGTAACTTGTTTCCGGGAGGACCTAGGTCTGGAATGCTGGGCAGCATGAAGCTGTGCCGGGGCCTGACCATGGCGGCTGGCAGAGCGCAGCGAGAACAAATCATCCAACCTTTTCAAGACTCTCTCTCTTTTTGCCCCTCACCGCCCAGGTTTTTTGATGAGATTTACATGGGTTATGAAGGTGAGAGTGGATGGCATCTAGCAGATGCTGAAGAAAATGTGAATTCTTTCCCTCTTGGAGTGCTGCTACACTGGAAACAGAATTAAGCTGCTCAATACAGACTATAAACAAATCATTCCCCAGGGGTTGGCTCACCAGCTGACAATTCAGCCCATGCTGACTCATAGTGATCCGCCACATGGGTTTCCAAGATTGTAATTGTTTATGGGAATAGGAAACGCAGTATTTCTCCTGAGGAGCTACTGCTGGTATTGAACTGCTGACCAGGCAGATCGCAGCCCAACGCATAACCACTACACTACCAGGGCTCCAGAGCTAACAGTTAAGAGTTGACAATAAAGAACTGTTATTGTTTGCCTTATAAACAAGTTGTTGAAGCATTTATGCTTTTTGGAAATACTAGATTAATTGGAAATCACAAACACAGCAATCCAAAAACAAGTAAACATCCTGCTTGGTATATTTGTTTGAAAAAGAAATGTGAGGAAAATTGCGAGCTTATCTTTCCTTGGCACAATGGTCCATTCCAGAGCTTACACATGCCCCCACAAGGGTCTGCGTGCCTATGCTTAGAAACAGGTGTGCTTACAATGATTCTTTATACACCCAGAAATACTAATTCAAAATGGTTAAGAACATACGCTTGAGAATTTGATAAATCTACACTTATTTCTGTGATTGAACTATTTATTTTCTAAGTCTCAGTTTCATTTTCTGTCATTAAAAGAAGCAATTCAAGTAAAAGATGTGGGCCCTACATGGACTAAAACAATGCCCAGTCAGGGTTGATGTTCAGTATCTGTAGTCTATGCGTTCCAGAGGATCCCTGGGGGCACCGGGTCACAGCATATATTATGCTGCCAATTGCAAGACCAGAAGTTCATGTTCACCAGCTGTTCTGCAGAGAAGGATGAGGCTTCCTACTCCCATAAAGATGTACAGTCTCAACAAACCCTTCAGGAACAGTAGTGGGACTAGCGATATCGTGAGTGTAGGGGATGGCTGGGAGGGGGAGGGGCATAGAAGGGGAACCCATCACCAGGTTGGAGATGTAGCCTCCCCCCACAAGGGGACACATAACAGAAATGTGGGTGATGGGAGACAATGGACAGTGTAAGATGTGAAACAATAATGACGATATAGTATTGATCAAAGATTCACGACGGCAGAGGGTGGGGGGCAGAGGGAAAAAAAGAGTTGCTGATACCAAGGGCTCAAGTAGAAAGAAAATATTTTGGAAATGATGATGGCAACATATGTACAAATGTGCTTGATACAATTGATGTATGGGATGTGATAAGGGCTGTAAGAGCCCCCAGTAAAATGAATAAAAAACAACAACAACAAAAATTGTAAGCATATAGAAAAAGGAAAAAAGATTTATAGTCACAGAATCACACCAGGGAAGTCCCACCTGCCCTCAGGGAACTATGCATCAGAATTGACTTGATGGCAGTGAATTTGGTATAGCCTCTCTCTCTCTCTCTCTCTCTATATATATATATATATATATACACATGCATACATACATACATATATATATACACATGCATACATATACATATATATATGCAGGCCTCAAAAAGTTTGTGCAAAATATCCCTCACCCTCTCATTCTGCTTCCCCCACAAACTCTTGGAGACCTCCTTGTGTTAACTAATATTCTAATGGTCTTTAATAAATTATACAGCCCAACAAAGACTTTTTTTTTCTTGGTGTCTTGGGGTTTAGGCCTATCCCTGAGTCTATTTGGGACACTGATTAAGAAAATTACATTGGATAGACCATACCACATCAGCTCTGGTTTCTTAGACACGGTGTTCCCATTCTATCTCAGCTATTACGTTCTACTAATTTATGAATTTATCATCCTACTTTTAAATAGGAGAAGAATTCATATCCACACGTTAACACGAGACCCAAAAGGTAAGAAATATCTTAAAAAAGAATTAGGGATTCGGGGACTTCCACGGGAAGCTGCTTGTGGACCCATGGCGGCCTGTGAAAGATCGCCGGGTTTGGAAACCCAAAGGTTTGCTCTGTCCTGTAGGGCTGTTAGGAGTTCGACTTGATTGGCTGGCAGTGGGTCTTTCTTTGGGGCGTGGGAGGCTGTGCAGTATGCCCAGAGTCACTGGATCCAGCAAAGCCAGGGCACCGCTTGGGCAGAGTGGGAAAGAGAAGAGCAGATGGAAAAGGCACGGGCATGGGAGGTGTGCGGGCAAAGGAGAGTGCCCCCAAGGTAAGACTTCATGGTGATTTTCATCAATATTTGGAACATCTAGGTTTTTCCACTTCACATTCTGCAGTAAGCATTTCAGCACACCTTTTATCATATGGAAGTCAGTAAATAATTCATGGTAAATGTTTCGGCGGTGAGGTTGACTCCAAGCTTCTTTATAAAATTTTTTTTAAAAAAAAACTTCTCTTTTAAGAGTTTTTGTGCACAGGTAACATTTGAATCTCTGTTTATTGAACCAACCCACTGCCAGTCAGTTGATGATGGTCCACAGCAACTGTGGAGGACAGAGTGGAACTTTTCCTGTGGTTCTGAGGCTGTAAGTCTTTATGGAAGCAGGGAGTCTCATCTTTCAGAGTGGCTGGTGGGCCTGAACAGCTGACCTGTGGGTAGCAGTCAAACACATAGCCCACTCCACCATCACCTCTATTTATTTATTATATCGTAACCCTTATTTCCAGCCCTTTTTTATGATAGAAAATTGGAACTGCTTACTATTCATCTCCTAGTAAACGCGCAATGATACTTGGGGAAAATGCAGGGTCATGTCAAATACATCTTTAGATCAAAGGACACCATGTGGAGTACCACTTGACCTAAATATTTAGTCCGGCATAAAGTACTTTAAAGAAAGCAGCATGCTTGTCCTCTATCTCAGGCTAGCTAAGAGTACATGAGAATATCCTGAGTTTTTGTAGGTGAGCTGAGGGAAGAGTGAGTGGTACATGGTATATGTTCTGTTTCTCAAGGACTGGAGCTGATAGGGGAAAACTGGTGCCCTTTTCTGGAACCAGCAAGCCCCACATACCCAGAAACAAGTCCAAGATTTGAGGTGCCAAGTGTGTGTTGGCCATTATCCATACTATCTTCATAACCACTCTGTGAACTAGACACTATTAAGTAAACATTTCCAAGATATCCAGCCAGTAAGGAATTAAGCCCAAGTTTAAACACTTCAGAGTTAGATTCCTAACCTCATGCCATTCTGTCTGCTCTCCTCGGCCTAACGTTTCCCCCCTTCCCCAGAAGATCAGCTCGTTCTACAACACGCATCACTGGATTCACTTCCTCTAGGGATCCTAGCCAGCTACCCTCTGTAGAGTGGACCAGTCTCTCATACTTTAATCGACTGTGTATCCACCCATGACACTCTGTACTGTAAAATCTTTCTTTCTCATACAAGACCACCAGCTTCGGGAGGAGAGAGAATTAGCCAGTGTATCCATGTGCTTGTTGATGTGTTCAATCAAAAGTCTTCATTGAGCACCTAGTGTGTGCCGGCACTGGGCCTGATGCTAAGATGCTCTCTCTGCCTTCCCAGCACTCATCCTTTACACACAAACGTGGGGTGACTTCAGCCTGCACCCGGATGTATACTCTCCTCTCATCATGTGATCAGGGATACATGGCAGGCCTCACACAGTCACGCTTAGCTATAATCAGACACGGCAGCTCGCAACAAATGCAGCCGCATCTCATAGAGACCCCCCTGAAAGACAGTTGCGATTTTTCTCTCATAGCTCTTGTCTTGAATCACTCTGATTGTATTCTCCGACCATTTTGCTCCACATTGCAAGAGACAGTATAAAGTGAAAAACCTCTTACCAGTTTCTTCGCCCTCTGAAAAGGAAATGACAAGAAACCATTAGCAACCAACTTTATCATCTACTAAGATCAGACCCTGCTCCCATGAGTTAAGGCAATTCTCGTATCCTTTAGAAAGCAACGGATCTTCAGGTCCCCCATTGCTGTAGGTGAAAAGCCGTTTGGGCTCTGGAGTCTACGTTGAATTGGCATCCGTTTACAAAAATCGACTGCCAGAGGCACGACAATAGAACATAGACTGGTCCAGTGGTTGCCTTTGAACATGAAGTTGATTCAATCAGGTCGAGAGAGCTGATGGAATAATGAGGCTTTCAACACGGAGTCACCCCTCACACTGTTCCTATGATCCAGGCCACCACACTCATATGACATGTGCACACACTCGCACACACACTGAGAGCAGCCAGGCAAGTGATGTGGACTGCACCCCAGTGCTGTCTCAGAGGTGGCTCATCACGTGTACCCCAAGACACCCATTCCAGTCACACACCCTCTCTCTACACAATCTCACATCACACACAAAATGCAAACGAACAAAAACTGTTGGCCTTTTTAACTTAATTGTCTTCATATGTGTCCCCTTAGAAAAGTTAAGGCTCGCTATTTCTTACAAATATCTCTGGTGAATTCCTTTTCCTGACTGAAAATCTCTCTCCCCTTATGAAGACAAGACAAAGGAGGAGATGGTAGGATCCTCTGACCTATCTTCGTGGATACTCTGCGGGAGACCTAGAGAAAGCCCCAACCCCACCCCCACCCCCCCGCACAAAGAATGCTGATTTCAAAAAAAGGATGCAAAGAGAATCTCACCTGACTGCCCCCAAGCACCACCTAGAAAAGAAATAATAAGAAAAAGAGTTAATAAATGTGAGTGCCGGCCACTTCAAACAGAAGATGAGTCATGTCTCAGACTGACCCTGGTGACTAGCTCTCATCCTGCCCGCCCCGCCCCCCACTGCTGGGTCGCAGTCCTTCCTACCCCCAGAGAAACGACATTCTGGGGACTCTGGGCTAATTCTGAAAGGAGACCCAGCAAGGAAACATTTAGCATTAAGTGCAACCACACTATGGTTTTGCACAAACAAGAGTTTAAAAAGTTGAGTGTTTTTTGGGGCAAGTAGAGAAATGGCAAAATCATTTTACAATCGAGCTTTCACTTCAGAAATTGATCTCTGAATGTGGAGGAAAAAGATGCTCTTGTTTGGGTACAATGTGGGGATTCTTGTTCCATCTCTGGCTCCTGCTTGGCTCCTGGTTCATTTGTTCCATCTGTTTTCTGCTTGGGACAGAACTGCAAAGATTTGATGCCCCAATTACTCATCAGCTAGAGTCCAGGCCTAGAAAAACTTGACCACACTTTCATGAAGCTCTGAAAAGTCTCCCTTTAAGGGAGGCAGCCATAAGTCAGATTTGTTATCACGACTATTTGCGGGGTGCAGACGGAACGTTTTCTATTGACCTGTAGCTCCCTTGGACCCACCTCTTCTATGCTGGGGAAGACAGCAGCTTAGGCTCATTCCCACGATGCCCAACTTCTCGGGGACAGTTGGGGTCTCGCATCTTTGAGAAAGACCAAACCCAACCCACTGCCGTCGGGTGGAGACCCACTCACAGTGACTGCACAGGGCAGGGCAGAACTGCCTCCGTGCCTTTCTGAGGCCTCAATGCTTCTTAAAATTTTAATTTATCACTTTATTGGGGTGTGTGTGTGTCTTACAAATCTTATACCAATCCATCATTCAACTTTCTTAAGCACACTTGTACATATGTTGCCATCAACATTTCCAAAAGATTTTCTTTCTACTTGAGCACTTGGTATCAGCTCCTCTTTTTTCCCCCTCTCTCCTTTACCCTCCCACCCTCATGAATCCTTGATCAATTCTATATTATTGTTGTGTCTTACACTGTCCGTTGTCTCCCTTCACCCATTTCTGTTATTTGTCCCCCTGGGGGGTGGGCATTATATCCAACCTTGTGATGGGTTTCCCTTTTCCCCCCCCTCCCCTCCTCCTCAACATCCCCTTACCCTCATTGTATTGCTATGTCCATTACTGTTCCCAAGGGTGTTATCTGTCCTGAATTCCAGGTGTCGAAAGCTCTTATCTGTACCAATGTGTGTACACTGGTCTAGCCGGATTTGTAAGGTAGAACTAGGTCATGGTAGTCGGCGAGGGGTGGTGGTGGGGGTGTAGGGTGGGGTGGGAAGAAAGCATTCAGGAACAGGAGGAATGATGCGTGTTCCGTCTGTGCTATGCTACACTGTCTGTGCTATGCTACGTCCCTTTCTTGTAACCCTTCTGTGGGGGATGTCCAATTGTCTACAGATGGGCTTTGGGTCTCCACTCCAACCCCCCTCTTTCACATAGATATAATTGTTTGTGTTGGATCTTTTGATACCTGATACCTGACCCCGTCAACATCACATGATCACACAGGCTGGTGTGCTTCTTCCATTTGTGCTTTGTTGTTTCCCTGCTAGATGGCTGCTTGTTTAACTTCAAGCCTTTAAGACCCCAGATGCTATATTTTTTGATAGCCAGGCACCATCCGCTCTCTTCACCACATTTGCTTATGCACCCATTTTGCCTTCCGCGATCATGTAGGGAAAGTGAATATCAAAGAGTGCCAGGTTATTAGAACAAAGTGTTCTTGTGTTTAGGGAAGACTTGAGTAGAGGCCTCTGCTATCTTAATACTTAGCACATAAATATATGTACATTGGTCTCTGTCCCTTTCATTATAAATTAATATATTTACCATATATACTTGTGTATAATCTGAGTTTTTCAGCACATTAAAAAATCAATTTATTGGGGGCGCGTACAACTGTTATCACAATCCATACATATATCCATTGTGTCAAGCACATTTGTACATATGTTGACATCATTGTTTTTAAATAATTTTCTTTCTACTTGAGCCCTTGGTATTAGCTCCTCATTTTCCCCCTCCTTCCCCCTCCCTCCCTCACTCCGTCCCTCTGAACCCTTGATGATTTATAAATTATTAGTTTTTCATGTCTTGCACTGTCTGATGTCTCCCTTTACCCCCTTGTCTGTTGGCCATCCCCCTGGGAGGGGGTTATAGATAGATTATTGTGATCGGTTCCTCCTTTCTCCCCACATCTTTCCCTTCCCCTCCTGTTATGGCTACTCTCAATATTGGTCCTGATGAGTTTATCTGTCCTGTATTCCCTGTGTTTCCTGCTCTTATCTGTACCCATGTACATGCTCTGGTCTAGTTAGATCTGTAAGGTAGAATTGGGGTCATGATAATGGGGGGAGGAAGCATTAAAGAACTAGAGGAAAGCTGTATGTTTCATCGGTGCTATACTGCACCCTGACTAGTCCAACCTCTCCCCACGACCCTTCTGTAAGGGGCTGTCCAATTGCTTACAGACTGACTTTGGGCTTCCACTCTGCACTCCCCCCACCCCCCCATTCACATTATGAATTTTTGCTCTGCGTCTTTGATGCCTGATACCTGATCCCATCGACACCTCATAATCACACATGCTGGTGTGCTTCTTCCATGTGGGCTTTGTTGTTTCTCAGCTAGATGGCCACTTGTTTATCTTCAAGCCTTTAAGACCCCAGACATTTTCAACACCTTTTCTATGTAGTTTTTGTTGTAAAATTAGGTGCCTCGGCTGATATTCGGGGTGGCTTATACTCGAATATATGCAGTACATATATATAGGCCTACAGCTATACCTCGATAAATAACTTTTGCCTCCCACTTCTTTCCTCTATTTCCTTTCACCTTCCTCCTGTCCCATTATCATGCTCACCCTCCATTTGGCTCTCAGCAGTTCTTCTTGGATGCATTGCACATGATCAAATCCCACCAGGCATTATATCCACTCCTTGCCACCAATTTCAGATCTCTTGTTGTTCCCTTATCCCAGAGTTTGTTGGTTTCCCCTGCCTGCCTCCTCCTTTCCCATGTCCCTCCTGGGACCACCGGTCCTGTTGTTTTCTCCTCAGGATTGTGTGTCCTGCCTATCTTATATAGATAGACATAGGGTGAAAGAAAACAACAACAACAACAACAAAATAATAGCTAGCTCCAGGTCTGTCTGTGACCCTTACGAGTGTTTTCCAATTGGGTCTGATAAAGTGCCCCGCCCTGACTCCTGGAGACTACAACCCTTTACAGGAGTAGAAAGCCTCGTCTTTTTCCTGAGGAGCGCTGGTGTTTTTGAACTGCTGACTTTGCAGATAGTAGCCCAACTCTAAATCATATTAATATGCCACCAGGGATCATGTCTTCGACAGCCCCTCTTTATAAAAGAAAATGTGTAGTTTGTATTGTAGGCCTCTAAGACAGGGCCTGACCGCCCCCTTCACTTTGCGCCTAGCTGCTCAATGGGTATTTCTTAGACCAGTGGCAGAGCATTACTGGGGAGCTTGCTGGAAATGCAACAGCTCCGTCTTCAGAGCTGCTGGGGCAGAAGCTGCATTTAACAAGCTCCCAGGTGATTGGTATACTCAGTCAAGGTTGGGACTCTCTAGTCTAAACAGGCTTCTGAAGATGAAGCAGGAAGCGGAGACATCATGGCAGTGGCTCTGTGATAAGAGCCCCAGCTCCTATAGCATTTTCCTAGTTCTCAGAAACAAACCCACCAAGAACCGTTTTGCCCCAGTGTCAGTTTTTAAGTACTCAGGTCTTGTAGACAGACAGACCTGGCTCTCCAGACCAGCTTCAGCATGTGCCAGCGGGAGGGTTTTCCACAAACAAGCCACCATTTTTTAATATCAGTTTCTTTGTTTATAAATAGGGATCACAATGCCTATTTTTCAAGGTGGAGGTAATGGTTAACAGAGCTAACACATGCAAAGTATTTTGCTTTAGGCATGGTTAGTTAAAAAAATTTTTTATTATTGCTCTCAATGAGAGATATAAATGATCTTTGTTATTTATCAATTTATGTTTCACTTTGCTGGTCAATAGCGCTTGATCAATTGTAAAAGACGAAACATTATGAGAGGTTTTATTGCTTCAAAGGTCCTCAATTTGCCATACGCGATACACAGTTAGGGCTCAACTACTCGTCCTGCACCTGTCTCCCCCAAACCAAGAACAGGGCTCGGCTCTTTCACTCTCTTGGGTTACTCCCTAAGGGTTTGGTAAGCTCACTGATGGAGCACGTGTGTTTGGAAGGCAGAGAGGCCTCTTCGTTTTCAATAGACATGATCATACCAACTTCTTTTCGCTGGCTGAGCCCCACACTACCTGTCGGGCACCTGGCGAACAGAAATGGCTCCTTACATTTTCTGGCGAGTGAGGCTCTTGGATGCACTGGGCAGCCCAGGTGAGGTGGTGAGCCTGCCGCTGGTCTGGAGAAACACCACTCCTCTCTACCCCAGTCACTCACCTGGTAAGAGGCAGAGCCCCAGGACGACCCAGGCCCCGCCAGACTGCATCCTGCCCCCGCGGAACTCTTACGCTACCGAAGATGGCGGTGGTGAGTAGGTTTATTACTTCTGAAAAACAAACCAGAGGGCTTCTTCAAAACACCTGCTGGAGGTGGAAATCCTGGGACCACCTCCCCCAAAGCTAGGAGGAAAAGGGAGGCTGTATGTGACGGAGACTCACCATTTTCCGAAGCAGGCGCCCAAGGCTAGGAGGGGAGACAGGCTTCTGAACCCCACACAGGAAGTGTGGAGGGGCCTCTGGGCTTGCAGGGCTCACGTCACTGGGAAATGTTCAAAGACGAGGCAGCCACCTGGGTTGGCTGAGGAGAGAATTGGGCCCTGCATCTTCCCAGAAGGATGAAAGGAGAACAATCAGACAAAACCTGAAGGTGTTTGTGGAGAACACCTGCGATCCCACTGTCCAGGCTTTGCAGAATGTACGTCCAAACTGGGGTTTGTCTCAAATACCACCCCCAACCTGCCGGAAATGAGCTGTGCCAGGGAGGGTGCCAGGGCGAGAAAGCAGCATGAATCTTGCTTCCTAGTGGAGCTGACACAGATCAGTGGGATACAGCTGTGTGTGTGTGTGTGTGTGTGTGTGTGTGTGTGTGACAGGGGTGAAGGTTTACAGAGCACATCACTTTTCCATTCAACAATCCATACACATTTGTTTCATCTCATGGATTGTAATCTCCACAATGTAGCATCACTTATCCTACTTCCTCCTTGTGTTTTCTGCTCCGGTTCCTCCTTTCCCCTTCTGAACGTTGTTCTTGGGTAAATGCTGCCCCTTTGCTCTTAAATGATTGATTATTCTAAGGTGTGTATATTTCCCAAACGCACTGGTTCCTTTTATAGACCTGTCCATTGTTTGGCTGAAAATTGAGTGATGGGGTGAGTTCCTTCCAAGACCTAAAGGTGTCTGTCTCTAGCTGACCCAGTAAACCTAATCTTTTTTTTTAATGACTTTGAATTTTGTTCCATATTCTTCGCTCATGTTATTCAGCACCTTCCAATGTGAGGATGCAATTATCTTACTAACAAAAGCAATGACTTGAGAATACACATTGGTTTAAAACTCCCAAGTGTTATTTTACTTACAATATTTATAAGGGTATTAAACAAACTTACTATACTCAGTATCAGAAAGAGTAGAATAATAACCTCATAACCTACGGGTGTGCACATTAAGCCTTTCTGTCTTTTCAGTCATACATTAATCAGATGCTCATGATCTGCCGGTTACTGTGCTAAGCCCCTCACCGACTTACCTAATTTAGAACTTAGAATAAGCTCGCGAGGTCAGTATCATTTTAAGCCCCATTTTATACTTGAGCAAACTGAGGCTCAGACAGGCTAGAGAGCTTGCCTTACGTTATCAAACTTAGATTCTAGAAAACATTCTGACAAAACTCTGTAATTTAGTAAATGTTTATTTAATGTCTTGGGGGCTGGCAGTAGAGTCCCAACAAGACAGACTTACAGACTTCATGGAGAAATAAGGAACATGTGGTTACTAAATAGATCGTTATATGAGAATCATGATAAGACAAAGGAAATACAAGTGATAAGAGTGTGATCAAAGGAGGGAGCTAGCCACAACCTGTGTATCATTGAGTTGTACAGCCAGGACTTGTGTGTGTTGCTGTGAAGCCGGAAGATGCGATGTTGGTATGTCAACAGGGTCCCTCAAAGCGGACTGGTTTCAGTAGAGCTTCCCGATTAGCAGACGAGGAAGAACCCCCTGGTGAGCTACAACTAGACCTTGAAACCCTCAAGGTGCTTGCTTAAGGCTAAGAAGTGTTCAGACGGTAGCCTCCGACAGCTCTACTATATTCCTGGATATATTTGCAGCAAGGTAAATGCATGCGTAGAAACATCCTCCATCAAACTTAATTCTTGAACGTATTTCCATTAATGTTCCCACTTCTCTTCACCTTGAGTGTTTGTCTATGGAGATTATTATGACTGGAATGATTGCAGGATTAAGTGTGTAATAGTATATTTATTTTAATTACATCTTTGTAATTTTTTATAGGGAACTGGATGAAAGTTTACAGAGCAGATCAGCTTTCCAACAATCAACAATCCATAATTTTGTTTCATCTCGTTGATTGCAATCCCCACAATATAATACCACTTGTCCCACGTATTATTCTCTGTGTTTGCGCTTCCCATTCTCCCTTCCTTCCTATCCCTTCTGGACTTTGTCTTTGATGCCCTTTCATTTCAAACGATTGGTCATTCTAGGTGTGTGTGTCTCCCCAATGTTACTTTCCCCTTTGTGGACATGTTTATTGGTTGGCTGAAAGTTGCGCCATGGGATTGAGCCCATTTTCCACCCTAAAGGGTCATTAAGGGTATGTTAGGTTGGGCTGACTAGAGAAACAAATCCAGTGACACTCATATATATGTGTAAGATAAAGCTTTATATTAAGAAGTACTTATCTGTCAAACAAACATCACAGCCAAGTCTGGATCAAGTCCATAAATCCAATGCTAGTCCATAGTCCCTCTTCAGACTCACGCAGCCACGTGCAGTGATGCAGAATGCAGGACCATCACTGGCTGGTCAATGCAAAGTCTTGTGGATCCAATGGCGGTGGTGGCATCACAGTGCTTTGGCAGCTCCAAGCGTGGCTCTTCAACAGGAAGGTGAAGGCAGAAAGTGAGAGGGAGATTCCCTGGACCCTCCTTATGAGAAGGTCATGCCCACAAGGAGGCGTCTTCAGGCTGTGACCTGATTGACAGGCTGGACTCCATCCCTACAGTTTATTTATCAAGTTCACATGAAATTATGAAACTACCGCAAAGGGTCATTGGTCTTGGGAATTCCACCAGTCTCTATCTGTAAAAAGTAAGCTTTAAAAAGATGATTTTGGGTTTTGTTCCACATTTTCCTCCCTCAGGATCAAGGATGTTCTTACGGGATCCTTTTCAGAGCAGTTGGTAGTGGCAGAGAGACCACATGTATTCCTGACTGTTTCAGGGTCGCAGAGAGTGAGATTTGTGTGCTCCGTTTGTTCCCTGGACCAATTGTTTTCATATGTCTTCCGACTTTCAACATTCTTCTTTCTTCCAGATGGGGAGAGACCAACAATTGCACCTTAGATGGTTGCTCACGAGGTTTTAGGATGCCACACTGCTCACCAAAGTAGAGTCTCGAACACTGTCTTTGTGAACTCTGTTATATGATGGACCTTGGTGTCCCCTGAGACTAAGGTCCTGATCCCTCAGGACCACTCTCTCAAGGTGTCCGATTATGTCTAAGAAGTTTTTGTAACTTAGCACAGTGTATGCTTCACCACATTCATGGATGCATTTGCAGCAAAGGTAAATACACGTATACAAATATCCCCTATCTGTGCAGTAGTTTTTAAGATTGGGAAGTGAGAAGCCTCCTACTTTGTTCTTTTTTGGTTGTGTTTTGCTTATGTGGACTCTCTTTCCTTTCCATATAAAGTTGGGGATTAGTTTTTCATCCCTTTAAACAATAATGTTGGAATCTGGATAAGAATTGCATTCTATCTGTAGATTGTCTTGGGTAGTGTTGACATTTTCACACACACACACACACACACACACACACAGAAAGTATTTCTATCCATGAGTCTGGTTTATTTTTCCACTTATGTAGATATCTTTTGATTTCTTGTAGTAGTATTTTATAGTTTTCTTACTATAGGTCTTTTGTTCTCTGCTTAGATTTATCCCTGAAATTTAATACTTTGAGTGGGTATTATAAATGGCATTGTTTTCTTGATTGCCTTCTCAGAGGTCTCTTTGTCAGTCAAGAAATCCAAAAGATTTTTGTATGTTGATTGTGCACTTTGCCACTTTGCCAAATCTTTCAATTTGTTCCAATAATTTTCTTGTCGAGTATTTGGTATTTTCTCTGTATAGAATCATATCATGTGCAAACAGAGTAAGTTTTATTTCTTCATTGCTGATTTGAATGCCCTTAATTTTATGTTCTTGCCCAATGGCTCTGGGTAAGACCTCCAGTACAATATTGAATAATAATAATTTTAAAAACCTACAAAACCCCTCACTGTCACTGAGTCCATTCTGATCACAAGGACCCTATAAGATAGAGTTGAACTGTGCCTACTGGGTTTCCTAGACTGTAGCTCTTTATGGGAGTTGAAAGCTGCATCTTTCTCCTAAGTAGTGACTGGTGGCTTGAATCGCTGACCTTAGGATTAGCAGCCCAATGCATAAACCCACTGTGCCATCAGGGCTCCTTCAACTCAAAACTCAAACTTTATGCTATTGAGTTGATTCTGACACATAGTGATCCTATAGGACAATGTAAAACTGCCCCTGTGGACAAGGGAACCACAAGTGATCCTAATTGGTGGTGAGGTGGGTGTGGGAGGCCTGATAGGGCATGA